ACAGGTGAACAGGTGAACAGGTGAGACAGGTGAACAGGTGAACAGGTGAACAGGTGAACAGGTGAACAGGTGATGAACAGATGAACAGATGAACAGGTGAACGGATAAATTGGATGAACAGGTGAACAGGGGAACAGGTGAAATGTAATGTAATGTAAATGAAAGGTCTATGAAGGGATTCTGTGGTCGTGTTCTTACTCTGAGCGACCACTTTGTCCAGAATCTGTTGGAGCTCGAAGGCAGAAATTTCCGAGTCCTGTTGAGACAGAATGAAATATGATGTCAGGTGTGTTGTCTCCATTCAGGTGTACAGGAAATGATGCTGAAAATATTTAGTTACATTTCCAGAGATCTGCACAAAGAGACGTTTGAAGTGAGGATCCACGTCGTTCTGTCCCACATCAGGCTGGAAGGAATCAAAAGAGTGTCTGTCTGTCTGTCTGTAACCCTACAATATTTCACTCTCTGTCATCAACTAATTGAAGGAGTCACAAACCTCCTGGATGTCCACGTTAACGTCCTCCTCCATCGGACTGAAACAAACAGAAACAATGACAGCGTGACCAGCACATCCCAGAGTTATTGCAGTCTGTCTAGGTCCGTGTGTTTCACCTGGAGTGGGCCTGCTTTTCGGTGAACACCCTCAGGATAAAGCTTCCTTTGCGGTGCGGTTCAAAGGTGGACGGGATGATGGCGTACTCTCCGGGCGGCAGTTTGAATCGGTCGCACACCTCTCTCAGGTTGATGAAGTTCTGACTGCGAGCCACAGCCGTCCTCCTGAGCAGGACGTCCGGGCCCAGGTGGACGTTACTATGACCTTTATACTGACCACAGAGGAAGAAACGGGTCAGAATTTACACTGAGGGTCTTCAGGTAAAAGTAAAAGTATTGATTAGACGGAATGGGTCACTGTTACATTATTATATAATTAAATCAATATTGCATTATTATTAGTCTGTAAGAATGTTGTATTTGGTTGAGGATGAGTTAGTTGTGGGGTTTATTTATTGAGTTGTACCAACGTCCACACAGACGATCTCAGATGGAAGCAGAGCTGACATTTAAAGGAAAACACAGTAAGAAAGAAACATACTGCGATCAAAATAAAAGATTTATAGATAAATATAAAACCAAACTTAGTAACTAGAACCAGAGTAATGGGTTGTGCATTCATTAGAATACAGGTGTCTGTGTCTCAAAAAGTTGAGCAGGTCGTCCACCGATCGGAAGGTTGGCGGTTCGATTCCTGGCTACTTTAAATACAGCCTCTAGTTTAGGGTTCAGTATTTTGCTCAAGAACACTTGCAGCAGGAACCTTCTGATTAGTGGACGACCCGCTCTACCTTCTGAAACACAGACGCCCCAGAACACCAGAAACACTGCCAATGATCTGCCTCTGAGGAAGATCTGCCATGGTGGTTCTGTTGAGTTGGAGTGATGAAGAACCAGAGTGATGAAGAACCTGAGTGATGAATATTTGAAGACCTCCAGTTGGAACTCTTGGTGGACTGTGAGCTGATTTTAACTTTTCATTTCTCTTATATTTTATAACCCGAGCGAAGAAGAAGAACGAGGAAGGTTCTATTTGACTTTATGGTTCTGTGATGTTATCGTGTGTCTGTGTGGAGAACCTGGGCTCACCTCATCAGGAACCTGCAGCAAAAACACAAAGACAGACAATTACCCATCAGAAGTCAGACTACATCCAGAGACGCTCCCTCACCTGCTGGGACTATTGATTGATTTCATTATTGATCATTTTCATTATTGATTATTCTGACAAGGAATCAATAATTAAACCTATGGAAGGACTTGCTGCTGTTTACTGTCTGTGTGTCATTACTTTTACTGACTGTACTGCAGTACTTTACTGACTGTACTGCAGTACTTTACTGATAATACTGTAGTACTTTACTGACTGTACTGCAGTACTTTACTGATAATACTGCAGTACTTTTTACTTTTACTTAAGTAGGATTTTGAATGCCTGTACTTGTAGTAGAGTATTTTTAAATGCTTGTATTAGTACTTTTAACTCTTTTTCCACCCTGGTGTGCGTGTGTGTATTTGTACCTCGTAGATGGCGAATCCGATGGTGTTGAGGTCACGTCCAAAGCGCCTCTCCCTGCGAGCGTCTTTCTGCATCAGACCAATCAGGGCGGTGCAGCCATCCTCGCCGTCATGAGGGTCGTCATCCATGTCCTCCAGCCGGATGAAGAACTGAGGGTTGGAGCAGAACGTAGCTGCAGAGAGAACATACGACTCAGTTTACACACTGCCACATTCAATATGGCACAAAAACACTATAAAGGCAGTATGACAAGAATCTGAGGTTTCACGGTGAGCACTGAATGAAGTATCAGTTATACTCTACTGATTGTTTACTCCAGTAAAAGCTAACTGTCAGAATATCAGAGTGATATTCAGCGGTCGTGATGTTTGGAAGGTGTGAAATGATACAGAAAAATAAAAATAATTAATCAAAATTAATTCAAACTATAAATACTCCTGTCAGTCGGGGGGGGGGATGATCTGGGATCTGGGCT